CACGTAGTGTGATAAAGGCTTGATGTTGTTGTTGTTGTAATAGGTAAGGGATAAGGCAGGGGGCCCACCTTTTGGGGCCTAGGTGAGTTAAATTCATTATGTAAGAAGGAAAAATTTGGAGAGAAATAATTAGGAAACTTTATTTAGGGAAGTATGACTGATTTGAATTTAGTTAGGTATTCGACAACCAACGTAAAACTTGTCGAATAATCATGACATGGATTTTTTAATATATTATGTTAATGCTAGGACTTTCTCTGGAAGCGACAATGTATGATTTTAATATAGAGAAAGGTGTGCGAGGGCCGCTGCACTGGTGCTCGAGTGCAGTTTTAAATAAGCAAGGGTTCCCACATCATGGATGGATGTGGACACAAGCTAGTTCATGAAATTAAAATTACGATAGAAACTTGAATTATATGTACCCTTAGAGGTAAATTAATGAAATTAATATATATGCATTCAACATCGCTTATTAGTTTTGGATTTTAAGATAAATGGGCAGAAAATAACAAATAAAATAAAACATTATTTTAGGATTAGATGGAGATATTTAAAGAATATTAAAAAAAATATTTTTGAGAGTAAGATGTTACATCTTAAGATTTTTTCTATATGAGGAAAATAATGTTATATGAGAAATAATAGCTAGTGATATTAAAAATGTTGTCAAAAATGTGCTTGGATTATCAAAAGAAAAAGCTCTTAATAGTAAAAATAGTTGATGGTGGAATCAAAATGTTCAAGAAAAGATAAAAAGTAAAAAGATTTGTTATAAAAATTGGTTTATATGTAAAAATTCTGATAATTAAAAATATATAAAGAGGACAGTAAGGAGTCTAAGAAAATAATATGCGATGTAAATATTTTAGCTTTTAATGATTTATATAATATATTTGATATCAAGGAGGGTAAAAGAAATTTGTATAAGTTAGCCAAATAAAGAGATAAGAGTAGTAAGGATTTGTTCAAGTGAAGTATATTAAGAATGAAGATCAAAAAAAGCTTTTACTAAAAGAAGATATTCAACAAAGGTGGATGAGATATTTTTATAAACTCTTCAATGAAGATTATGAGAATGCAATTTAATTTAGTGACCTTAGCTCCTTAAATGAAAAGAAAGATTTTTGTTTTTATCGGCGTATTAGTAAAACCGAAGTTAGAGGCTTTAAATAAAATGAAGCGTGAAAAAGCTATTGGACCCGATGATATCCCAATAGAGGTGTGGATAGACTTAGGAGAAGAAGGAAATTCTTGGCTTACTAAATTTCTTAATATTGTTTTGAAGTGTAAAAAGATGTCAAAAGAGTGGAGAACGAGTATGTTGATTCCTATTTTTTAGAATTAAGGTGATGCACTAGATTGTGCGGATTATAGAGGAATTAAGATAATGTGTCATACTTTAAAAATATGGGAGAGAGTTATGGAGCATAGGTTGAGGTGTGATACTAATGTTTCTCAAAATCAATTTGGATTCATGATGGGTAGGTCTACTATAAAAGCTATACATTTATTGAGACGTTTGATGGAGAAGTATAGAGAGAATAAGGAGGATCTATATATAATATTTATTGATTTAGAGAGAGCATATGAGATCCAAGATAAGTAATATGGAGAGTTCTAGAAAAGAAAGGGTTAATAATGCTTATATTCAAATCATTAAGGATATGTATGTAGGAGCTGTTACTTGCGTCCAAACACAAGGTGGTTTGACCAAGTATTTTTTTATTTTAGTTGGATTACATCAAGGATCAACCTTAAGCCCATATCTTTTTTGCTTTAGTAATGGGTATTCTTACTAGATATTTGCAAGACTTTGTACCCTAGTGTATGCTTTTTGTTGATGATATTCTTCTTGTTGATAAAACTAGAAAGTAAGTTGAAGGTAAACTTGAAATATGGAGGTCAACCTTAGAGTCTAAAGGCTTTCGTTTGAGTAGATCTAAAATTGAATATAGGAAATATAATTTTAATAATAATAGTTCTAGTGGAGGGATTGTGACTTTGGGTGATCAAGTCGTTAATAAGAGTGCACGTTTTAGATATCTTGGGTCTATTGTTCAGAGTGATGGTAAAATAGATGGGGATATTATTAGTAGAATTCAAGTTGGATGGTTGAAGTGGAGGAATGCATTAGGCTTGTTGTGTGATACAAAAGTCCCCCTCAAACTTAGGGAAAATTCTATAAGATAGTGGTTAGACCTATAATGCTTTATGGTGCAGAATGTTGCCCATTAAAAGAGAAGCATAATATTAAGTTAAGTGTTGCATAGATGAGGAATGTCAGGTGGATGTGTGGCTTTACTCTTAGAGATCGGATACGAAATGAGCATATACGTGAAAAGGTTGGCGTAGCTCCAATGCAAGATAAGATTTTAGAGAGTCGCCTTAGCTGGTTTGGTTTCATAAAACAAAGGCCTTCTGATGAGCCGGTTAGGAAAGTTGATGTATTAGATTTGGCTTATGTTAAAAAGGGTAGAGGTAGACCTAAAAAGACTTGGTTAGAAAATATTAGAAATGATATTTCTTTATTAGATTTAAATGAGAATTTAACTTCTAACATGATATAATGGAGAAAAAATGATTCATGTAGCCCACCCCACATGGTGGGATAAAGGCTTAATGTTGTTGTTGTAGGAAATTAGGAAAATGTTTATTTAAGTGAAGAGAGCTAATTTGAATTCAGATTTGAGAGGTATTTTGGAAAGCTTTTTAATTATATTTATGCTATTTAGGAAGTGTTTAATTGTTTAGGAATGTTTCTTAAAATTTGTTCAATTGTTTAGGAATATTTTCTAAATTTTGTTTAATTGTTTAGGAAGGTTTTCTAAATCATGTTTAAATTATCTATGAAAGTTTTATTTATGATTTTGTATTTTATGGCTATTTAAGGGGGAGTTGTCTAGGGTTTAGGTATGCTATTGCTGAGTTATGTTGTAGTTCTTTTTTTGAGGGCTTCCTAGCGGTGTCAAGGTTGATTGGGAGAGTCTATCTATCTATATAATTGTAGATCACATGTATCTTGTGATGCGGACATCCAACCGTCCATGCCAATCTGAGGAGCTGAAGATCGACGACCGAGATCACTTTGCTTTAATCTTGTCTTTTCCTTCATATATAATCCAATAAAAAGTGTTCTTGAGTGTTCTTCTTCATTGTTTACTTGTTACCAATTTATGTTTTGCTGAAATTGAATATTCAACCAAGGTTTTATTCAAGTTCTGCATCTACTTCACATCAATAAGATCTTAAATTTATTTTATTTAAATTTTTTTTAGCTTATTTGTTAATTATCAAATAAAATAAAAATCTTAACATTCTTTCTCATAACTTAAAGTTTATTAATAAAAAATTTACCTTTCTTCCTCTCCTCCCTAGTCGTTGCTAATGTTTGAGCCCCATATTTTTGCCACTCACGCTTTGTCCGTGATTGTGCTCTTTTTCTCCCTTGACTCCCACTCTCTCTTTCTCTATCAGTCTCTTCCCATTTCTCTCTCTCTCTCTCTCTCTCTCTTGATTCCTCCATCTCACACAAAATTTTTAACGAGACAAACCCTTCTTCTCCTATACGATTCCAAATGACAAAATTGACTCGAGCTCCTCCTTCGGGTGTGAGAATGCACCAACCAAGTTGCTTTGTCTTCCTTAACTCCCAAACGACGGAACACATGCACTCTCTTCATTTCTAGTCTTTTCAAGTGACGAACGAATTATGGCGTCGACGAGCGCCTTCGCCTCCTTCATCTTCTTCGGCTTCCCGGCAATGGAATCGACTACAACGAATTGACGGAATGAGGCTTCTTGCGACACCAACTCCTTCAACGCCTTTCATTTCCTTCATCTTCACGCGACCATGAAATAGAACTGGTGTTCATGGTTCAATTATTATAATTAAAGGTATTTAGTATCATTTCAAGTAAAATTTTTTAATTTGCATAAAGATCCCTGTTTTTCACTATGGTCAATAGTTCTCCTCTTGCAATATGCTTTCTATGTTTCTAAAATATAAGCACTTAGTTTGGTGATCGATTTTTTATGTAACGAGTTTAATTAATTTTAATCAAATTAAGACATTGTATGAAGCTGTTCATGTTGTTCTCTTTAAACTGAAAATAGATGCCTAACCTTATATTAATTCGTGCATTTTAAAAAGTATAGAAATTGTTTCTTATGAAAGCCTCATAAAGAAATAAAATTAAAATCAGGTTTCGTTTAAAATTCTAAGTTGTTCTAAGGAGATTATTGACCTAAAGGTGACAAATGATTATTAAAATATTGAATAATAGATAATATTAATATATTCGAAGCTTTGCATGTATCTTTTAGTTAAAAATAAGTGGGAGCTATCAAAATAAATCTTATTGCGTTCAATATACCATGTGCTAATTTTCATAACGAGTCTTCTCAGTTTTTCAAGTTATCATTTGGCTTCTTTATGAACCTTCTTTATCTTTTTTGGTTCTTGTTTCTGTTTGAGTAATTACTACTTTATTGATTTATGATCGTGCACATCAATTTCAAGTTTTTGGTGATCTTGTTATTATACCGTTCCATGTATGTTAAGAAGATCAAACTTTTCTATGAACTGTAATTTCTGAAATGCTTCCATGTATGCCAAGAAGACCCATTTTTTTCTATCAACTGTAAATTATGCTTGTCATTATAAGTATTTTGGACAAAGCTCCTGATTTTTTTCTTTGTGAAAGGCATGATTGTTTACCATTGTTGTGAAAAAAAATGCATTAAAGTGATTCTTTTTCACCAATATTGTTTGTCGAATAAAAAAGGGGCGAAAATCCTTCTATCCCGCTTCTTTGAAAGCTTCTCCAAAACTGAGGATAACTAGACATCCTTTGGTGATGAAGGTGGCTTTTGCTTAACTAACTAAGTAGGAATTTTTTCTCCCTAGTATATTATATGAGGCATGAAAACGTGCCGTTACTTGATAAACTCTGGTATTCTTGATAAAACAAACTTCATTTACTCTGTTATTTGTGCAGGTTACATTGGTTCAGTTTCTTTTTTAGATGCAGTATTGGGAGTTGTGGAAAAACTTCGTTTGATAAATCCTGAACTTATATATGGTAAATTTTCTTTTTATTCATCAACATTTCAATACTATCTACTCCATGATCTCTTGAAGTTGGTTGAATTCCAAATGCTTATGAAGGACAGGAAAGTACATATGGTGATGTAATATGATGTGGTTTTGTCACCAATAACTTGAATACATGCTTATTATGTTCATTGCTATTAAAACCAGTAATTCTTTCCTTGTGGTGAAAATTGGTGGGTGGGGTTCGAGTTTTGTAGGGTGGGATGCGGAGGTGGTGCATTACTAAATTTATTGCTGACCTTTGTAGAATCTTAGTCACTATAGTGGAGATTGCTGGAAAGCGTGAAATTTATGTGTTCGACATCAGTACCTCCTTAATGCAATACCTAAGGTCACACATACAAGTACATAATTTGCATTTCATTAATTCTAAATAAAATTTCCATGGACATATATATATATATATATATATATATATATATGACCTTAACTAAACTTCCTTGAGATCTTTTGTTGGCTTCAGTATTTTATCTTAGCTAAATAGTGAATTCCTTCACTTAATTGTTCTTCGTTTTATTAATTTTTACAAAGTCCTTTTTAACTCATCTGATCTATATTTTTGTAGCATAATTATATGAAAATATTATGTATCACTTGCATGTGCGCTTGCATATCTAATTTGTAAGCTGTATTTCTAATTATTTAAGTTATTTCGAAAGGTCCAACAAATCATGGGCTCAATTTTTCTTTCTATCCATAATGTTGCACACCTTTCATTAGACTTTAAGGAAAATAAATTCAATTCAACTGGCCTGTACTTTGCATCATAATACTCATTGCCTTTCTTATAATGCCTTCAATATGTCTCTAATCAATTTGATCTTATTAGTAGCATCTTCTACCAATTTACTACCAATTTCTTTTCTTTCACATGTCTTTGCCAAGCACAAAGTGTTCTACATTTTCTTTTATAGAGAGCTTCATGTGGCGTCATTCCAATGCTGAAGTTAATTATTCTTAAATCAAATTAAATTAAATAAAAATATCTGGATAAATCTTTTTTTCTTTATTTACGAGGTCAAGATAAGACTTTAATTATACTAGATGTCTTTTTATTGGAAAATCTTATATTATTGTTTCAGTCAGAGGAATCAATTTTTTATAAATTTTCCTTTCTAAAGTTGAATAGAAAAAAATAAGAAATTATAATAACTTACACTTCCTTTGTCATCGGAAAAGAAGAAACTTCCAAATCCAAATTCCTTCTCTTTCTCTCCCAATTTCCTCTATTCCTCTCAATTAACGTTTCCTCTAAGTCACTACTTACAATCATTCATAAGGTTCCATAGGAGTGAGCAAAAACTTAATATCCCACATGAGTTGCATATAAACCCTCTCAATAACACCGGTTCACTCAATTTGTCCGCTCGACTCCACTGTTTCGCCCGTTCGACTCTAATGTTTCATTCGCTCGATCCTCACCCTGAGTTCGCTCGTCTGTTTAGTTACGGTTCCGGTTCGGGTAAACCGAACCAACCGGTTCTTACATGGTATATATCAATAAAGGAGCTGGCTCAAGTTGCATAATGAGAAAATTTGTCCATGCAAGGCTATTCCATCTGATTCTAGAGGCATGCAATGGTACTTGAGATCTCTTTTGGCATTAATTTATTCCTCGGGGTTGCTCCAAAGAGTGCTAAGTTATGACTATGCTTGATACACGACATTGACATTGCAAACAGCTTTTATTGTAGAGATCAAAATGAAAGTTTGCAAAGAGATAGTTCCACAAGGTTCTAGCGGAGGATTTTTAAAAGAAAATAGGGAAATGAGTGTTCCTCTTCTCTAATATTGAACAATACATTACTAGATGGTTTGAAGATAAATACAAAACTGTTTAAATTTTACCCACTTTTATTTCGATAATGGAAGAAGACAAGAAACTGACAACAAGAATTGTGGTAATGATGGTAAGTGATGAAAATGCTACCGTTCTAAATTCTATTAAGTATACTAAACTTAGCCATCTTTGATGACCAAACATTGGAAATAAGCATTGAGATTTGTGATGGTACATTGAACATGGTGACCGGTGAACTAGGGCTTGCATACTGGAAGGATGTTTAGAAAAATGCTCTTCACCATAGTTACCATAGATACCGATGAAGCAAGATGCAGTGTCTTTCTGGTTTCCAAAAGAATGTCATCATGTTGTGCTTAATTTGGGAACTTAGCTTGAGGATGATACTTGATGTGAAACCACATGCGGTGAACATGAATTGCACGTTAGAGATTAATGAGAGTTTAACTTTGCAATATACTAGTACAGACATGAATACTTTGGGATGGATCAAAACATGTTGGCCATGAAATCACACTCAAGAAGAGGTTAATTGTGTGATGAAAAACTTTTAGTAGAAACACATAACAGACGAGTAATTCAATCACAAAGTCTGGCGTGACGTAATACAAAAAATGCATGAGAGTGAGAAGAAAATGTCAAATTCAAAAGAAAACAATAAGGTGAGACACATTCTTTTAATATGATTCCGTTTCTCAACAAATCTACGTCCACTCTATGATATCTTCGGAATTCTCTAGCAACATTCATAAATCAAGAAGATCAAAGCATTACAATTGTAACCCCACTCTTTTGGCTCAAAAAGGAAAGCATGATCCTTTTTTACTGCACTCAAGGTCATCCCGCACCTCTATTTCAGCTTGAGAGTAAAGCATGATTCTTTTCATGCACGGAAAGCCCGCTGTTGCAAGAACTAACAATGCAAAGAAGTTTGAAACTGTAAGGAGAGACAATTAGGCAAAACAACAGAAAATATTATAATAGAGAGTTTTCTATGCACCGCTAGACTTAGGAAGTTGTTTTCTTTAAAAAAGAAAAAAACCTTTAAGACTGTTTATCTAAGTTAGAGACTAATGATGAAAACTCATGACAAATAAATTTAGCTTCACAAGAATGCGACCAAAATGGTGGATTAGCAAATGAAAGCTTGAATGACTACCTATGATGCACCGACACTTCTCCTCAAAGAGGCGTGCAGTGTCCGACACCGTATCCGGCACGACACTCCCCCGACACTCAAAACTATAATACCGTGTCCAACCCGTGTCCGTGTCCTATATTTTCAATAACTGATGTGTCCCGTGTCCGTGTCGTGTCGTATTCGTGTTGCCGTGTCCGTGATTGTACATCATAGATGACTACAAAAGCACTTAAAAAAAGAGAAGTTAATGGGCAAGTATGGGTTTGGAGTTTATTGCTAGTGCTAAGTGTTTATAAATGCTTTAGCATGAGGGGGGTATTTATAGGCTAAAAGGACCAAGTGGGTTGCCACGTAGTGGATGGAGATGTTGGGATGCTTTTCAAATGATGATTTAATATTGTCGGACAACAACTCTTTTATGGTAAAAATTCTCACCATAATAAGACGTTTCTCGTTAGAAGACTACTTAGCTTATGAGAGGATGCGAGAGATGTATTTTAGGTAAAAGGAATTCTTAATAGCGTAAAAGAATAAGTAATTAGATAATCAACCATCTTGGAAAAATAGTTCTATCTATTTTGATCTTCTTTGAATGAACTTGGTTGGCTGAACTTTTCAGGTTGGCCTAAATTTATTTGTTCGTGCATGTTCATCTTAACTTGGTTGACCCAAATTGGTTGGTTTTTGCTTTGAATCTTTGCTTGCTTTTGTCTGTTGCATGAAATTCCAATTGAACTCCTATCTACTAACTCACATACTGTTAACCTCCACCATGAAAAAAAAGGAAGTATAAGAATTTCCACATCATACCTGCACGCTCCGTAGATCCTCGAAATCCCGGATAACATCTTACATACCTAGTATCATTCGAAGATGCGAATCCCGCTACAACGGCGATCGCTTCCCGGATATCCTGCGAGCTTGTCTCGATCGTTGTTTGCCTGTGTCGTTAAAATGAGAGCTCAAGGCTCTCATATTGTTTTCGCTGCCTCTCGTCGCACTCCACTGCCGAAGCCCTCACTTCTCCCATTTCCTGTACGCGAAGCCTCCGAACTCTCAGCCCTTGCCACAAAGGTCTTCCAAGCCGGCGTCAATCAATTTCCCATGATCGCACATCTCCAAATCCTTCTTCAACCCATCCGCAAGACCTCTCTACTTGTGCTGATCTCACCTCTTCCCTTACCTGTAACCGAAGCCTTGCCTTCGACCGAACCCAGCAGTTGCAAACCCACCGAACTCCATAGCCGACCCGCCATCTATACCATTGGTCCAGCCCTAGCCGACGCCTTCATTCGCCTTCTCCTATCAAACCAGTTGCAAACATCCTCCTAACCCGACGTGTAGCTCCCGAATCCTGCAGCTCCAATCTTCCTTCTGTGTAGCCGAACCGGTTCTTCACATCCATTCAATGACATTTCCACTCCATTCACCGAAACTTCTCTCTAAATCATAGTCCACTACCCTTGTTATTCTATTGCCCTATCAAACCCGCACCCATTTACTCCCAAACCTGTAATAGTGAATCACAGCTCTTCATCTTCTATAGCCCACTAAGAGTCATGGCCCATTTATCAATAAAGCCCATTACTATTCAAAACAGCTCAATAGCCATTTTCAAAAAGGATAGGTATAAGGTTGTGTTTACTGTTATTATTGTTAGTCATGCATCAATGTTGATTAGTAGAATTATTTTCTAATACGTAGTGATAGTGATAGTTATCATTATCATCATTATTAATAGTAATCATCATTAATGTTATTAATGAAGATTATTTTAATACTATTGATAATTATTGCTATTAATTACAATAGTGAATAGTTGTTATTGTTGCAATTATCATTACAATTTTAATAATGATATTATTGATATTTGTTAAAAAAAAAGAAAAGAAAAAGTTTTTTTTTTTTCCAAAAAAAAGGGCTTAAAAAAAAAGAGAGATTTTTTTTCCTAGCCGTCGACACGGGTTTTTGCAAAGGTATAAAATTTCTAACCCAAAAATCCTGCTCTCGAGGCTTGTGATGAGCCAACAAACCTCCATATGCGCTCACGTAGTACGGTGGGAGGGAAATCGGTGCGACACTTGCAATGAGGCGGGTAATCACCAGAGCGCTCATGTAGCGTGAGTGGGACGAAAAATAAGTACCCATATGTGGGGAAATCACTGCTCTTTTCAACAGGTGCCAAAGACCCTTAAGCGCTCATGTAGCGTCGCTGGAATTGAAGAAAACACAGCCGCAATGTCCCCCGGCATCTACCTGAAGCGCTCATGTAGCGTGGAGGGGAAGACTACCTCTTGGTTTTTTCCCTAAATGGGGGAGATGCCGAGAGTCTATCGAAATTTGGACTGAAGATGCAAGGATTTGAACTTGAGCTTGATTGAACAAAATAGGACTTAAGTGAACTCAAACTTGTAGTGGACTTGGACTTGAAACGAGTAACAATAAGTTGGGTTCGAATGAACATTGAATAAATGACTTTTAAGTCCAACTTGGATTAAAGCTTAATATTTAAAATAAAAATCATGAACAATATGAATGATAAAATCAAAGATTCATGCATGAATTGATCATATGCTTTAAAATGAGATTTTTGGACAATGAAAATTTGCAATTATCCTCTCATTTGAAATGGAGATGTTGGTGAACACACAAAAAGAAATTTGTAAAAAGGGATGGCTTGGTTACAAAGCCATCATATGCGAACTTTGGAGCATGATAGCTGGTTTGTAATATAGGGCATAAGCCACTCCTAAATAGTAATTGATTGAACAAAGTGATGCATGCCATGAATACAGGAAATATACCTCAATCATGCTCTTAAGTGATTGAAGATGATTGGTGCCGAGCAGTCGACACAAGGTGCATAGTGAAATTATCATCCAAGCATAAGTCCCTTATGAACTAAAAGTTATGTTCGAAGGCAATGAAGAGTGTGTGATCTTTAGCATGATCCACTCACAAATGATAGTGAAGGTTCATGCAAATTGTTTGGCTTGAACAATCTACAAGGATCATGAATGATTGTGACAATTCATATACAAGCATATGCTAAGGACTCGTGCTAAATCAACTCTCAATTGCACACAAATTGCCAAGTGACAATGGATTTGTAAAATACACAATGAACTTTTTATGAATGATGATAAGAATCATACAATTGGTGAGGGGGAAAGAACCCATCATACACACAAAGCTTAAGCCGCATGCAAAAGAAGAAAGCTTGTAGTTTGAACGTTGTAGTTTGTGGAAGGACAAGGGCAACAGGCTTTAATGAAAGTACCAACACTATCACTAGATGTTATTCCATAAGTGAACATCAGAGAATTGCAATGGACATAGATGCTTGCAGTACTAGAAGATTCAGGATGAATGCTTACAAGCGAATGTGGGAGACTTGTAAGTGTTTATGAACGACAATGAAATGCATACTAGTGAATACAAAGCTTGCAAACACAAACAATAGTTCATCCACAAGTGATTATGGGAGACTCGTGGGTATTTGTAAACATATATATGCACACTACATATCATCCACATGCAATAATGGTAAATGCACTACAGAGATGATGGGTCTTATGAATATAAATGTATACTAAAGAAGCAGTGGTGTACCTACTATTTCAACTATCTCAAGAACTACAACAATTACTTGAGGAATGGATTCCTCGCATAGCTCTTCTATACAATATGATGTACCTTCAATCATTACATTTGTTAGCTCAAGTTAATGACCACTACTTTTGAAGCATAGGACATAAATAAGGATACAGTCATCCAAGATTGAAATGATTAATTCTTTATTTAAATCAACAACAGAAGATGATGATGATGGCATAATAAAGGAGTTGCCCACTAATTCCTATACGAGTTTTGAGAAGAGAAATCCAGATCAAATAATTATAGAGAGTCTCAGTTCAACCAGGTCCCGAACGCTGAGTTGGATATGATTATTGAGGCTTGCAAGTTTATGGATGAATAGTATTCGCGCGTCCAACATATTACCTGCGGGAAAATACAAAAAGGCTACGACAAGCATGAGCTTCTTTGGGCTTCCGTAGTATGTCCGTTAGATATCCAAAAATCCCCCCGTACATGCACCGTAATCTGTATGCACATTGGTACACAGAAGGAGATGTATAATAAACCTTCATGGGCCCCGAAGAACTTGTTATTGGTACACACGTGACATCTAGGGATGCTGCGCGGGTTAATAAATGAACCCAAGTTTGAGCATGATCCTCATATGCAGGTAGATAGTGGTTGACAAGACTCGAACCAATAAATATGCGGTCGCAAGGTCGACCGGGATATTTATTTTAATACATTTATATTAAGCCTTCAAGGCCTCAAACAAAGAGAATTCATCAATAAAGACATAAAGCCTACGAAACCCGATCCTTTGTCGATAACTTGACGGAGTCGACAAGGTTTAATCAACAAAGAGAAATAATCCATTTCACCCCAATAATGGTCGTGTTGAATGCAAATCTCAACCTGTGGGTTCACAAACACTTTCAAGTGCCTCCTAAATTCTCAAATGCTCATCAAAACTTCTAAACTCCAGCAAAATCTCCAAAATTTTAAACTTCAAGATATTTAAAAAGAAATTCAATCCATCAAAACATTTAAAGCAAAATTCATTCACCCTCCGCAATAGTTTGTCGGTGTGGACAAATTAAAAACTACTTTAGCTCACATAGAGCTAATGCCTTGTCGAAAATATCACTAGGATCTATTCTCAAATAATATCTTGCCAATAAGGACATGGTACGTGTCATCTAACCGGTGGTTTTGCCGCTAAATGGCACCGCAGGATAAATGGTTATGACTCGTGGCCCTCTGAACCAAATGGTTTGCCGTCAAAGGGCACCACGAAATACCGATTATGGCCAGAGCCAATACGGTCCTTAGTGGCATCAAATCTTTTAGATATGAATCAATAGGATATGATCGATAGGGCACAAAGCCCTCTGTTAGCTAACGTGGATTCAAATTTATCCCCTTAGACAAATATTCACCCCAGGTTTACAATGTACCCTTGGACGAAGCAACCCATGACTGCCGACAAGGATCCTTCTGTCAAGTTGGGTCGACTACCTCCTCTGACTAAGTAGACCAGGGACCACGATGGCCTGGGACGACGGAACCATGGGATCTTGATCGGGTCCATCATCCATTCCCCCACCATCTGCTTTAAGTGCACGATGGTGAAATTTCTAATTTTAAATATAAACCTTTAAACTTCCAATTCTCAAGCTCATGTTGCTACTATATGCCTGATAACACGTATTTTTACGTATCTGATCGACGATTAGCCTTAATCGAAAGTTCTCTCTCATTATCGGGAGGGGTAATTAATTATAGAGGCTTACGCCTATAGGAAACTAGAACTCAGATCATAAAGTCCTTGTAAAACAAGGGCGAAATCTTTGGGTCTGTCTTATCTACAAACCCATGTGCCTTCCAAAATTAACCCCGGAACTTAATTCCGTTAAACCCCCCCCCTAAGAAAAGCAATGCGGGCGGAGGCCGGGGTTGAATTTTCGGAGCCCACACATACTTCATGCATTATCTAACTAATTAAGCACCCTTTGCAAATAAAGTTGTGCTTACAAAAATATAGCCTAATTACAAAAATCTCGCATTAATTAGCCTTAGGAAAAACTTTGCACTTCCGGAAGCAATTGTTATTGTTCTAAAATGTAACTGAGCTTCTCAAAGAGAGAAATTTTGTCACAATCTTAATGACAACATATAATTCCAAATATGTATGAAATGTTTGTATTCATAAAAAATGTACATAAGGACAACAATAGTATATAGCTATGAGTGCCATGTTTAATTCAACACTGTTTTGCATATTATGTTTGTGTTAGAAATCCTAGAACCTAAGACATCTTCATAGGGTCAACAAAAATATTTGCTTTCACTTAAAATATTTTGTGCGTGCAATGAATTTTTGAAAACTCCATCTATATATGGCAACTTTTATATTTTGTATTTGTTTATCCAGTTCCATAGTTAATTATATAATACTTTTTTCATCCCAACTTATCAACAGACGAACATCATACTTTGCCTTTCAATTTTGTAAGAACAAGGCTCTTGGTATTATACATTTCATTTAGATTTATTTCACTTTTTTGAAGGGTTTCAATGTAGAGAGTTGAGAGACTATGATATTCCTTATTTGATTCAAGGGATCAACCCATATTATTTAGAAAAAAAAATATATGATTTTTCAAAAGGTAATATGGGTTTATCTCTTACTTGCTCTAATTAATATTTTTATTATTATTTAAAAAAATATATATTATTTTTCAAAAGTGAATTTGGTTTCATCTCTTAGTTGCTCTAATTAATAATTCTATTACTTTTTAATTCTCTTTTCATACTGCTACTTCAGCACATATTTCTTCTTTTGTTTTGCTAAATTCATTGCAAGATTGTTTTTGGTTCTGTTGTTTGTTTCTTGGACTTTTCCTGATTCAACACTTGTCTTAGTAAATGATATATGAAGATTCTAATTGGATTTACCTCAATTTATTTGTTCATTTCAATAAAAATGAGAAAACAGTGATTTGAGGTGCATGATTATTCGTTTACAAATAAAATAATAACTTAAATCATTGGAAGAACCAAGGTTCTAAATTGGAGATAGTATCATGATGTGATATTGTATCAGAAAACCTTTGATGATTAATTCGGCCAACCGTGGGTCCAATGAAAGGAAGCCTTACAGTTACTGACTGCTTCTTCATGTAGTTTGTGACCCAGTTATGGGTGATGAAGGAAAGCTTTATGTTCCAGAGGAGTTGGTGTCTGTGTATCGTGAAAAGGTAACTGCCTTCAGTCATTGGCAAGTTGCTATTTCCTTTTGTTGTCGCTTCAAATTAGGAAAATATTTTTGACTCAGCATACTTATTTTTTCATGTTCTTTGTCAGTCTACTTTTCTTCTAAATCTCAATAAAAGCTTATTGTGTATAAGGAACTTAAGTTTAGTCAGGGTAACCAAAATGATGACCCCTCAAGCTATTTACCTCCTTTTTTTTATGGTTAGGTTGTCCCTGTGGCTTCAATGCTTACTCCTAACCAATTTGAAATCGAGAAACTGACAGGTTCCAGGTAATTTAAATCAAGTGTGCGAGGTTGTGTACTTGTTTTCTACTTTACATGAATACAGTTACATATTGATATTCTATGAAATATTAAGCATTTTTATAGATAAAAAAAAAACGAATGATTTGCTTGCAGTTCAAAAGTCAGCATCAATCTGCCCTTAAGGTTGCAATTCTTGTTGTTTTCTTGTTTAGTTGATGATGTTTAAACAATTATACATGAAATGTGCATCTTATGTATTATGTAAGTGAGAGGAGGAAATTTGTAGCGTTAAGCGGTTGCTTTATTGAGGTAAGATATATAGAAAATATCAATAACAAGAAAGTTGTAACTTTGGTATTCGTGTATTGTGAAGCCTTGTCACTTGCCAGTTAGAATTAAGGTGGAATATGTGTTTCTTTATTGGGAATTGAATATGCATGTGCTTTAAGATAAGGAATTGTAATGTAACATGTCTTTGGGTTTAGGGTTCTTAAATAAATGATGAAAGAAAGTCAAGCAATCAAATTTAAATCCTTTAGTTTGAAAATTATAAATTTAAACAATTGCTTTCTTCCTTTGTTGTAAATCCGAAATTATATAGAATTTGATCAAAATAGTAATCCAGTAAGGAAGTGGTCATCCAAATAAAATTTTGCCAAAAACCTGAAACCACAAAAAATCACAACCTGATAAGGATTCACGTCACAATTAGAAAATCAGTTGCAGCCATTTTGACTAAAATTGGCTGCACTAACAAAACTATTATTGAATTATTTAGACCAAAGAGAAAAAGATAAGAAAGCATCAACTGAAGATATTCGGGCCTTACATTTGTACTAGAAATGATATCCCCTGAAAATTGGTAGCCTCTGATACACCACAGTTGAATAAGTCAGTAGCCAACAAGCACAGAAGTTAGAAGAAATTTGGAAAATTTATTAAGCCGGCAATTGAATAAAAACTTGCCCCAGGTTTGTATCTGTAAAAATCTAATTCCCTTTCCCTCCAAGCCTGCATATATGGATAAGATAGTGGCTTAAGTGCATGTCTTGTAAGACCTCAACAGTAATGCAGTGATTGATAAGGTAGCTTCTTGTTGAACTGCAGGAGCATGATAGTGGAAAATATACTTTTTTTTTTTATATTGTGGAAGATAGACTTTGTTTTCAATTTGGCTGCAAAACAAAAAGCAGTGGCAACATAGAAGATGAATGCGGAAGGCTGGACTGTGTTAGAGTTTTGTGGGTTCCATGTGAAATATTTATGCTGGAGTGTGATCGAGAGGGGAGTTTTCACTTGTCCGATTTGATCTTGACAATTGCAATTTTGATATTTTTGCTAAAACAAGAACATGATCCATTTTTCATAATGCATTAAAATTTAAATAGGACTAATCAATTGAATATTGTAGAAAAAGAACATATATGGTTTAGTTTTCTAATTTGCTTGCCTCAATGCACAAAACTTGTATTTTTGATGAGAGTAGACTTTCTATTCTGGCCAATTTATAAGAAAAATCTGATTTGTCTTTGATTAATATTTAACATTCATTAAGCAAAAACATGCATAAGTATTGTGCTTCCCAAAATGTAATGCATGAATTATCATATAAAGGTCTACCACTCTAGTGCATGAGTATCTTTGGAATTCACCATTAGTATTGGGATATAATTTTATCACATCTAAGTTGAAAAAGAAATGTAGAATTATGTGGCAAAATATTCAATGAGAATTTTAAATCAGATACATTGAAGACTTGATTCATACTTGTATTTTAATTTGCAAGTCTTTTCTCAATGAAGAGATGAAAAGAGAGAAGAATCTAAGGCATTGGTTGCATGTTCATGAAATAACTTTAAATCAGATACATTGAAGACTTGATTCATACTTGTATTTTAATTTGCAAGTCTTTTCTCAATTTTAATTTGCCTCATCTTTCTCGCATTTAATTTGTTAAGGTCTCCTTTAGGAAACCTTTCTTGATTTAGACGGACCCTTCATCTATTATTTGGTTTAAATTTCATATACCTTGTGCTTCTATGAATAGTAGGCCTATATTTGCATAAGTAATAGCCAAATTTCTATAGATAATTTCATGCAAATTATGTAAGTTGTGTAAATGAATGATATGATATGTAATACGTAATGAAAATATTAAAATTTGCATTCTAATGGATACTAAAAAAATATTGTTGTTAATTCCTAGAAGATGATATGACATCAAAAGTTAAAGCTGACAAATCACTTAGATTTGATGTACTTATATCGACATATAATTTCTTTGAAAAAGTAATCTAAATTGCTTGAATATTATTTGTGAGAGATTATGCACTTTTGACCACATAGGTATAATTTGGTAATCAAGAAATTAATTAACAAAAAAAATTAATATCCATTCGATCATTCATCATAGAGATTGACATGTTATCAAAATATTATCTTGATCGGGCACGAATCGTGAGGCAAAATCAAGTTGGAAACTTCCAAAATCAAAATTGGGACCATCCGAACTCTGATTTCAGCAAACTTACAGTCGATTTGAGCGTCTCGAGAATATGAACCCAACGACACCATATTCAACCAAATCCGAGCCCAAACGGGTCCAAATCAAGGGTTAGAAGCGCTATTGGAAGGTTCGAACCACAATTTGGATTGCCAAACAGTTTCCAAACATAACGAGCTTATAGTTGAATCGAGCGGCTCGATGAGATGAATCCAACGAGCCTAAGATCACTTAATTCTGACTCCAAGAAGACATTCAAATGTTCATCAAACGGTCCATGATTAGAGGATTCAGTATCGGCCATCCATCCAACCACTCATTTTCCCTTGATCTCTCACCTATTTATGGGCCATGCCATTCCATAATATCTATAAATAGACCCTTCATTTCTATTGAGAAAGAAAGAGGGGGAGAAGATAAGAAGAGGAGAAGGGAAGATTAGGAGGGAAGAAACTCCTCCTCGACCACCACCGCCGAAATTCTGCTCAACTTCCGAACAACGCCAGAATTCCGCCCGACCTCCAAGTGACGCCGGAATTCCGCCGGCATTCCAAGTGACGTTGGAATTCCGCCCGACTTCTACGAGACGTCGGAATTCTGCCCGACTTTTCAGTGACGCCAGAACTCTGCCCGATCTCCAAGTGATGCTGGAGTTTTGCCCGAATACCATCTAACACTGGAGTTCTCCCCGACCGCCATCTGACATCGGACTTCTATCCGACGCCTGACCTCCGCTCGTCGCCAGATTTTTACCCGACGTCGGACTTCTGTCCGTCGTCATATTTTTGCCGGACATTTATCCGATGCTGGATTTCTATCCATTGCTAGACTTCTACATGACATAGTCCTTCCAACCTCCGTCGCCCGCCGACTACAGTCCTTCCGACCTCTGTCGCTCGAGGACTATGATCCTCCCGACTTACGTCGCCCACCGACTACAGTTCTTCCGACCTCTGTTACCCGCCGACTACGGTCTTGCCGACTCACATCGCCCGCCGACTATGGTCCTTCCGACTTACGTCGCCCATCAACTACAGTCCTTCAGATCAAACAAACACATCAGCAACGACTCTTTGTGTTCCCATCATGTAATGTACTCTATAAGATGTACATCAAGCTAAGACCTTCTCCCAAGGAAGGGCCTCATTTGTAATCAACTGTAATACTAGTGGATTCATTCAAACTGGGCTAGGCCTCGTGGTTTTTCCCCCTTTTTAGGAGTTTTTCATGTAAAAACTCTGGTGTCTTTTATAATGTTATACCCTCTTTCTTATCTGATTGCATGCTGGATTTTCGTATAATGCTAAGACTTTAAATTTTATATTTCTCTACCGCCGCGAATACTCCTAGACGCAACAGAGATAATTTTGTTTGATAGCTTTGTACGAGTTGTATTATTGAATTGCTCATTTGGTTCATCAACTATGATAGATATGATTGAATTAGTTTAGTATTCTTGAAAAACTTTTTTTTTCTAATTTTGATTCAAATAAAATTTCATGCTCAATATTAATTGCAGATTTAAATTCTGATCCTTGCTCAAATATAAATTCAAGTTCGTGAACATATTCTAATATATATGTTACTCCGATTCAATATTAGTGTTGAGAAAAACAAACCATGATCATATTCTAATATATATGCTTACTTCGATTCAATATTAATGTTGAGAAAAACAAACCAAGAAGGAAGAGATCTTGAATTCCTGCACCTTCTTCTCCAGTGCCCACCGGCTCCAGCTAACCCGTTGGTCACCTCTCCTGCAATCTCCCTCACCTGGACCCGCCAGCTAGAAGCATTTGGTTGTTTCCACCATTTCTACTTCTTGCTGTCTGGGCTGAGAGAGAGATACAGCTTCTTGCTATCTCCACCGGGAGAGAGAGAAGGGAGAGAGCTCACTGTTTTGGACAGAATTCTTTTTATCCATTCTCTTTTTGAAACAATACAAGGTACCCCTATTTTTACTAAAGTAACCCTTAGCGGCAAAAAGGTAAAAAGATTAAAACAAAGACTTAAGCTAAAAATAGAAATAACATGTAAAATAAGAAAATATCCAACAATTAGATTAAGATTCATCTTGAAATTGTGAATCATCTTCTATTTCCAATACATCCTCCTAGATTATTTTTGTGTTGGTGTTTGTATGCAGACTCCAAAGGATGTGGTATTATTTTTTTTATAGAACATCAATTATATGTGATAGTCCTAATTAACTAATTATAATATTCTGTTGAGGACTATCACTGAATTTATGATTGATGGTTGCTGATTTGACCTTCTTATCATGTGCGAATTCAGCTACTCAGATCCCTATTATAAATTCTGTCTAGGGTCTTTTTCTTCATAATTATTTTGCTTCTTACATTATTTATGTTATTCTAGGTTGTCTGGCCTTACTTCTAGGTTGACTGTCATGCTGAGTGATCTCACTCGCTTTGTTGAGGAATTCTTATGTTCTGATTTTCGTGATCCTTCATTAATTGTGAGGCATAATATCAAACAAATGCGGAGAAAAAGGATG